TATAATTTTTTTTACTCATTGGGTTAAATCATTAAGGGCACACTTACATTTACATGGGTTTTTAATAATTCAAAATTCTTTGAACAGTAATACAAACAACAAAATATAAAAATAGAAAAATATAATTTGAGTCGGAATTACAAAATTAATGATTAAAATATACAGATATATATTCAATAAGTTCACTAAATATACAATTGTGGGGATAGTTTAAAATATCAATTTGTTTATAATTTTGAAATATCCAAATGTCAGAAATACAATCGAATAAATTTGAATATTTTACTAATGTACTACCTACTACATTCGTTTTTCATTTCGTCTAATGTATCGTCTGTCATTTCAGGTCTGAGGCCGGGGGAGGGGATAGTGGTTCCCCGGATACAGATTCCAATTTTGCTGAAAAACATGAAAGGTAAGACTTAAATTCTTTAATAACATTACTTAAAATTAAACTTGATAAATATTGAAAATCAATGGAAATTGTCAACGGGTGGTTGACCTTTATTGTACATAGGTTACTTGGTCAGTATAAGACGTAAAAGACAAATGTACTTCTTGAAAGTGCCTGTAAAATTCTCTCTCCCTCTCTTCCGTTCAGTATTTCGAATGTGCCACAATTTTGACTTGGCTGTAATTTTAACGGATGTCGACAATTTTCACATTTCTTCAGACAAGCACCTGTCGCATCTGGACAAGAGTAAGAATTCTAATACTGACCCATGTTATTGTTGATATAATCCGATTGTATTGTAATCCCAATGATTTATAACACAGATTACATTCAGTCAATATTCAACTGGTCATTTCTTACCAACAATAAATAATGTCCAAATCATTCGGACAATACTACAAACTGGTGTCATAGTAAATGTAAATAGTGCCACATTACTGAAACATTTCGACTCGTTTCATCAACTGTATTTCAATGGTTTCAATGAGTCTTAACTTGCCATATTACGCTCAAATCTGTGCCAGGATAAATGCTGAAAATACACTTTTACTTAAAAATAAAAACTTCATCTCAGTATAGGAAATATTTTGGTTGTTTATATTATTTTTTTAGAATTGGACATTTATTTTGAGCATTAATTTTTCCACAAAACGGTTTATCTTGCTCATACAGTTTCCATTGTATCTGTTGTATTTTGTTCGTATATGAGAATATTTTCTCGACAATTTATCCATAAGAGAAATAAAATGATACTGCTACAAAATAATAGGTTTCTATTTTATATGAAATAAAACAGAGTTTTCTCGGACATCTATAATTCTGTTCGGGGTTGAGGAGAAATCTCGGGAAAGAAAATTTTCACAATTATTTACCGCACTGAAGCAAAAGCAAGGCAAACTGAAAAAAATTCTGGCATTTTCTGTTATGCAATTTCCATAGTAAAATTTGAAAGGCAGACAAATTGTACTGACTGACGCGATAAAACGAAAACCCGCAAGATCCCCAAACGTTGGTGCAATTCGAAATGAAAGCCCTAAAAAGATCCATTTTGTTCTGAAAAAAGAAAAAGTAGGTTGTCAATGGTTTGAAATCCATTCATAAATTGACCAGCGTACGTTAAAGTCTGTTTATAGTAAAGTCGTAGCTGGATTTGCAATTTGTAATTTAAGCACGTTGGAAATTCGTGTCTTCGTGTCATTTTTGGGCCGACCTTGACCAAGACAATACTGGAGAGAATTTCTGCAACTGAAAGTTTCATTGATTATAAATATTTAACCTCAATCATGTGTCGAATATATTTCTCTATTTTATTTACGTCGTCTTTCAATTTTCATTCATTTTCTATGACTTGATGTATAAAGTAGGTAACATAGACAAGAATAAAAATTCAAATTAAATGGTTAAATATTTAAACGGAAATAACAATTATTTCTTCAATACATTTGATTTTTTTTTTTTTGTGTTATTTTATTTTTTTTTTGTTGTTAAATTCATTTTTTCACAATTATTTTGATATTAGTATGTAAATGTAAATTTATGAATGAAAATTGAAATAGATAGTTGAAAATGCTCGAATGGAATATTCTAAGTGTATATTTGCTTTCCTTCTTGACTATTTGTCATTTGTAAAGAAGCGGAAACCAGTTTTAAAAAATTGTTATAAAGTCAAATATTAAAAATAAACAGTGCCAAATTATACATGATTTTTCTTTTAAAATTCACAATAGAGAAAAGGACGTTTTAGTGCGGCACTTACGACTTTCTTGACATAAACCTAAACACAAATGCTAATTTTCAGTCAGAGGGGTTAAATAAAATATTGTTAAATACGGTTAATGTACCAAAGGGTCTGATAGATCAGTGTGCCGTGTGTATTATTAGAGCTTGGTAGTCTTCTATTCAGTTGTTTCTTCTACACATTGCAAACCTAGGCTTTCAATTATTCAAAATAGCATTTCAAAGCGCATATTTGTTACAAATATACTGTTGATATTGATACAAGTACTGATACACATTGTTTTAAGTTATAAGGAAAATTTGTTGCACTAGTAAATATGTAGAAAGATAATCTTCGCTGGCAAATGATTCAGATCAACGTTGACTATATGACGATATAGTTCAAATTTCTCACATCACCTCTGAATACCACACCATATATTATAATGATAATTCATCCATTTGTATTTGACGCCATTATATGAAATTTTACATAAATGTGTTAAATAACATTTTACTTGTTTCAGAGAAGACACAATGTAAAATTTTTTGTTTTGTTCGAACAGCTTGAATGCCATTAACGATTGATACCTTTAGTATTGTAAAATACATTTTGAGGTCAAATTCAAAATGTGTCTCGCTAACGAACATAATGCATATGAGCACCAAAAAAACTTAAATTGACGAAAAGGATTTTTTTGTAGTTTGGCTTTAAAATTCGCAATTGTGGTTGTAAAGACCAAAGTTTAAAGGTTTGTTGTAGAAGTTTACGATCTTGGTCTTTATGTAATTTAACACAGAGACCATCGTTTGAAAATGATAAGCAGAAGGCGAATTATTCCCGCGTTTTAGTCTTAATACGAAAAGTAAACGTGGGGTTAATAGGCTCAAATGAAGATGAAAGAGGCCGACTTGTTATGCGACCTTTCAAAGTGTATATTTGATTGTCAAGTGCTGAATACTTCATTCACTGTTTAAGTATTACTGATTGTTTCTTTAATCCCCGTCTTTAGATCTTCAATTTCAGAATAAACTTAATCTCATCATTGCACATCCTACGCGCAATTTAAATTTCTAAATTTCGTCAAGAATATGAGATAAAGCAAACGAAGACATCGATTATATATATCCGGTATATCATTTTGTACTGTTTCATTATCAGGCACAGGAGTTCCTGCAGATCATAGTTGACTTTTAGATTGGAAATTGTATGACAAAATCAAATGATGTATGTTCAACATTACAGGTTGCCGTTGTTAACCTTCAATCTAGGGTAGTGCGAGCAATTAGCAATTGGTAGCTATACAGTTCATTGCTACACTTTCGGAACACCTTATACCTACTTTCATGTCTGTCAAAGAGGACACAGATACAATTTCTAAATGTTCTATAGAAGATAGACAGGGTTATAATGATGGATTGATAATGGTACTTGTACTGTTAGTTAATTACCTATTTGCCACCTCAATATGTATTTTGTAAACTTAGTTGATATTCAGTATCATTGTTGACATTATCTACATTTCTAATGAGTCCGAATCCTGTTTTAAATACAGTTTAAATATACGTAGGCTTAAATCAAACTTCACACTTAGAGGCTAGTCGTTAGACTGTCTATACACCAAAAATAACGTTTTTTGTGACAACGTTTATGGGCTCTTGTGACAACCTTAACGAGGCGTTTTAGACTTAATGAGAATTCATTTAGGTTATCACAGCACAGAACACAGACATTTCAGAAAATCGGTATGCAGCAGAGCATAGTCCTTTAACAATACTGGTTTCTTGGTTGGTACTCAGTAGGAGCTCATATCGCAGACTAGGTAGTTTTGGCGATATAGCTTCCTTGACTGCTCATATAAGATGGAAAATTATCTTACGACATCCAGAAAAAAAGATTATAAAGAATTTGTATATTTAACCTCGCTTGTCGCACATTCTGATGGTTAACATGATAAGTTCAAATACTGTGAAGTTTATTTCAACACTTTAACCATCTTACATGTCTATCAAAAGTGTCGCTGGTAGAAACTTGAGACTATAGAACTTATTTGAGATAAAACCAGATAGTAATATACTCCTGTATATTTGTTTAAGTGTTTTTATTTTATCTTGGTGGTTTGGAATTTAAATTTGAATTCAAGATGATACCGGAAGTTACATTGATGCATAAATTGGATAACGGAGGTGAATACATTAGTAGATATTGCTCTGTCTATACAACTTGACATATGGGCAGTTTGTTATTCCACATTCGGGGCAATGGTTTTTATATCGACTATTTTTCGTACATAACTTAATGTGTATCAGAAACGCCAATAATACTTTGCAAATGTTTTGGAGAGTCCAAGGTTTTGTCAATGATTCCAAAAATCCAACGCTTTGCAATTGTTTTTTCGATAATTCAAGGAAACTAATGCGTGCCAATATGTTTGAGAAAAATGAATCTTTCAGTTAATGTTCAGTTATATATAAATATGTAGTGACTTGTTTACAACATTCAATATTGAAAGCCTTGAAACAATGTCACTTTAATTATTATTTCTACGCCTTTTTTTTCTACGTCAACAAGATTGTTGTATAATAGTCAAATGACATTAGCGGAGGCGTTGACCTTCTTCCAACCAGGTTTGCCACCAGCATTTCCTTGTTCACTGATGCTTGTTACCATTTACCATTACTTAGCAGAATACAAATAACAATATTATATAACACGTTTACCCGGATTTCTTTAAGTCTGGGTCAGATTGGGTATTTAAATAAAGATAATAACATTTTGTGTATTTTTACGCAAATTAAAATAATTGGTTTCCTTTTCAGGGTCGAAGCTATGAAGGAAAAATCGAAAAATGCTGCTAGAACTCGACGAGAAAAGGAAAATGCAGAATTCTACGAGTTGGCGAAGATGCTTCCTTTGCCATCGGCAATCACAAGTCAGTTGGACAAAGCCTCCATAATCAGGCTATCAACAAGTTATTTAAAAATGAGAACAGTATTCCCTGAAGGTAAGCCATACATTTTATTATTCATTATTCTTTATTACAAATCAAATACAAGATCCTCTCCCACTATTATTACTGATTATCATAAAATATTTAGGTCAATCACATGCAATAGCTGAAATAGACTACGTCACAGAGAAAACATATAGCATAAAAAATAAGCATAAAAAAGTCATAAGTTACATAAAACAGAGAATAAAGCAATATACGAATAATATGCGAGTATCCATTAATACATGAAGTGTATTGAACTTTTTGAAAGGAATACGGAAACACTGGCAATTTTATATCAAAGAAATTCCATGTAATATGGGTAACAGAAATGATAAATATAGCGAAATATAGATATTACGAAAATTTAAATATATTGTTCTACATTATAATAGCATTTAAGATGAAAGTGAATAAGTAGAGATAACAAAAATGATATCAAATTAAATATATTTTCTTTATTCGGATTCCAGGAATTTTATACATGATTAAGATTTTAATTGGAAATCTAAGAATTCGAAAACCTTGCCAAATGTATAGTTATCCTTATATTTCAAATATCACAATTTTTTACATTATATAGATATATTATGCATTATTAACGAGAAATCTTTACATTGAAATTCCGAGCATAAATTTATACGGATGTACCCAATGAATGATTATATTAAAATTGGGTCAGATTCTAAAGAATGTGCAAGAATTGAACAATCCTATCCTAACAGACAATGAAACAACACAGAAAAATATAAATCACTTTAGAACAATACCACTGATTTTCAGAGCCATTAAAAATTAGTTCCAACACGCTATGATATCATTATTTATAAATCTATCATTATTTCAATAGGGTCGATAACTTCTGGTCAGTAGAAAATTCTCGCAAAAAAAAATCTGTCGGACAATCCATCGTAAATTCATATTACAGCGATCTTATGTTTTGTGGTGAATTTATTTGGTCCATGTTAACATTTGACTGATAATAATAAGTTTTCGTGATTGGACGCTGTCCTACAGATAACGCTAATGGAGGTCTTCGAGCTCTGAATGTCAAAGGGAGTGTTCAATTCTGAATTAAATTGTATATAGTCAACGCTACAGCAATATGAAATATCGTCCATTCTAATATAGACGGGTTTATCGATACTAACAATAGATATATGATAATATACAACTGTAAACAAATAGATAAAATTCTCACCATTTGCTCACTTTCTCACCATGTATTATAGTGTACACATGTCAGAAAATATCAGATCATGGACTCAAAGAGATTTAAACTACTTGCAACTAATTTGGCCCTAATTTGAAATGCGTACTTTTAACATAGGTTTAGAAGCAACTCGCTTAAATCTTGTGTTTTCATTATTGAGAGACTACAACAGTATGTATTTGATTTGGCACTTCAAAATTTTCCATTTTATTACCTTTTTCGTTCCGATATATTTATTGAATTGGTAATAAGCAAACACCTTTGCTATTTATTTGAATTGGGTGGAGGTCCGTTTCAAACCATTAAAACAAGAATCATGGGTAACTATCTGTAATTTGAAACCGTTTGCTGAAAAAGAGAGGGACACAACAAATTAAACTGGTGAAATGTTATGGAATATGTTTTTGGTTTTGAAATATATTATCAGAGGATTGTTTTTGTGCTATAAAAACAGACTGCTATCAGATTGATTTTAATTTCGTTACTTTCAATCTTCTGTCTAAAACCAATAAACTGTGGTTGATGCTTTTTCAATGTACTTGTATGAATATTAGAAGTTGACAAAGATTTGGTGTTATTTTAAGAACGTGATAAGAAAAGTAAAGGTTTTGACTGTTCGTATAATTTATTTATCATACACAGTTACCCGCCCCTTGTAAACAAACTTTGTTTTTAAGCGTTGTTGGCGATGACCTTATTGTTGGTTTTTAAAAAGGAAGATATATTTTGTACCTATGTGTGAAAGCTGATAGCTGATACATCGTGTGGCAAATATTATTCTTTTGTGTTCATATTTATTTTACTATAAATCTATTTTAGAGATATTGATGAATGTTCGATAAAACATTCAAACCAATCGAGAGCTGCAGGGTTTGTCATGATAAAATTGGTGAATATACCTTGATTTCAGATCAGACCTGGAAATATTGAACCTATAAATATTTATTTTTTTGGTTTTATACGGAACCGATTTGATTGCAATTTTCTAATTTTGGATTTAGCGACGTAACATCTGCGATATGGATAATTCCTTAGCATTCCAAAGACAAAGACTGTTGAGCGTCACATTCGAAAAAACTCGGGAATGAAGCATTGGGACTTTGGGATTCTTTGACAATTGTGGTTTCATTTGATCCCAATCTCAATTAGGCACCAAATAATGATTTGTGGAGCGTTATTGATTTGTTATTTAGAAACTTATTTCTAACTGTATTATGTTCAAGATGGCGGAGAGATATTAGTGGTATTTGATAGTATTTTAACCTATTGTTATCGGTATTTTTGACACTCCTAAATTTTTCTCTCTCTAATTTACTTTAACTACACTAATTCAATGTTGATCTAAGGTTATTTGAATTACTACAGTTGGGAAAGAATTTAAATAATTCATTGCTTTTGATGTCATCTCTATCACTGTGTAACATTTTCAACTTCAACCCACTTTTTTCTTTCATTTTTCTCGTTTTAAAAATAGTTTTTAGTTTATCCTTTGAATTTCATTAATTGATGAACAGATTTGTGAGAAATAAAAGTGTCGTTTTTGTTCATTTTTAAACGTATTTGAAATATTCCAGTTTTGAAAATAACCAAGCCAAAATAATTGGTCATACCGTGTTCCTTCGTTATTCGCATATTTAAAATACCCTATCCTTGGGATTTAATTTGCTGTGTGTTTTGCGGGAAGTCATTGAAATTTAGCGATAATCAGAATTATTGCACACATCAGCCAATATATGATGGTCTCATTTTATACATGAAAAAAGAACAGTCAATTGTTGCGATTAAAATAGATCCAATATCGTATTTGACAGATCGCAAAGGAACCAAATGAGACTTCAATCTAAAATATATTTTACTAACGACTCCCATTAACAAGATTAATAAGCATCATTTATACCCCTGGCTTTCTACATGACTTGCTAAACAAGTCTAGGTTTTGTATGGAGTGTGTTACCCACTAGGTGGTTGTATTTCTACACGTCATTAACACTTCCACCATTTTCCTCTCAATTAATTTCATGAATAGAGAAGGGAAATCCCCCCAGGCCTGATATTAACTACTAGTTTTAGCTTCTAGTGGAATTCTAATTCCTTCTTTTTACTTCCGGAAATAGGACAGATTTGTCGCAAAGTGGACATCATTACGAACTTTTCTTAATTTATAGGTAAACAGTTTTTGTTACTTTTTCCGGCTTCTTGGTACATTAGGTTGAATACACTTAACTGCTGTCCCATGCTGTTTACTTTTGACAAAGATCGACAAGTGTCAGACATGTAGAACCAGTTTCATACGAATCTTCTGCAATGCCAGGAAATAGGAAAAAGGTGTTGGATTGTGCCTCATACAAAGCTAATTTGTAAATTTTCATATAAAATGGCTTTTTGAGAATATCTAGAATTGGATTTCAGTAATACTACCGTTGAAGAAAAGTAGCATAGGTTTTTACTGACTCTACATAAGTTGATATCTGGAAATGAAATCAACAGAGACTAAGTAGGAGAGAATTCATCAGTTTTGGACTCTAGCTGAAGATGATAGAATATTATATTGGATATGACATGTTGATAGTTTTCTAGTGGGTTATTTATTTTATAACTAGTCTGACTACCACACGTGTCCATGGTGCCAAGAAATAACATTAGAACGTGCCATCTCGACCAAATTTTACCAGTAACCAAACGTTGTAAACAGACAATTTAGCTGTAAATTGGAATCTGTCGTCGTTTGGTGTATCGTTGGTTTTAAGTCTACTCTGGTAGTCTTGTTTTACATCCGAAGAGGTCAGATTTCATGGACATCTTGAGAAACATCATAATATCGTCTACGATCGACAACACCTACGAGATATGTAGTAAAAATTGAAATTTTCAACGATTTTTCTATAATTAAAAATGTAAATTTAAGAGAAACGAATTAAATTTGTTTTTTGTGGCAATGGTCGCTCAATTTCCATCTGAAACGAGCTTAATCATTGCTAATCAGATTATTACCAAAGGTTGTTGAGAGTCAATGATCCATAAGGAGTTAAGATGATTATTTAAACATCTCTTGACCACTGGTTAAAGATAAGTAGACAGGGTGTTACAGTGGTCAGTAATTTCACGCTAGATGTCACTGTAATAATCACTTGTAATATGTAATATCGTCTAAAGCCTAGTCTTTGGGGGAAAGGCGTCTTTCAATAAAATGCTTTTCTTATGGGAATGGGGATACATTTCGAAACGTTGAAAACTCATCACCTAACCAAAGCCTCTATAGTTTATACCCCATGCTAAATTTTGACTGCCTTGTATAGACAATCTTTGACTACAACTGACAACCTGTATGTATATTTTGATCGTCGTCGAAGTAATTTATTTAGTTTTTGCATAGTATATCCTTCCAAATGAAGACTATGAATGGCAATCTCAAATTTCAATACATTACCCCAGACATTTCCAGTGCACATTGAGTTGGACTGACTGAATTGATAATAACACATCTTAAGTGGCCTTATTTCTCCATAAATCGTATTGTTTGCTCATTATGTTAAAATCTCAATTCAACTTTTATAATTAAATGGAAATTCGACAAGAGTTAATACACGTGTCAACTCCCTGGCGTTGCATCTCATTATTATTGTTTGTTATAATTTATGTCTGAAATACATAACTTGGTATCCACTGTAGTTGCGGCACGGGGCTGCTATAAAGAATGAAATGGAGGTTTACTTCCTAATTTACAGATCTTGATGAGCGTTCACAGACCACGCAGTATGTAACTTTTGCCAGAACAGTGGCATTATGCTTCGACTCGCAC